GGCTGACTGGCCTGTAGTTCCCCGGATCCTCCTTCTTCCCTTTTTTAAAGATGGGCACTATATCAGCCTTTTACAGTCATCCGGGAATGCCCCGGATCGCCATGAGTTTTCAAAGATGATGGCCAATGGCTCTGCAATCACATCCACCAACTCCTTTAGCACACTCAGATGCAGCGCATCCGGCCCCATGGACTTGTGCTCGTCCAGCTTTTCTAAATAGTCCTGATCCACTTTCTCCACAGAGGGCTGGTCACCTCCTACCCATGCTGTGCTGCCCAGTGCAGTAGTCTGGGAGCTGACCTTGTTCGTGAAGACAGAGGCAAAAAAAGCATTGAGTACATTAGCTTTTTCCACATCCTCTGTCACTAGGTTGCCTCCTTATCATAAGCCTAGGACTTTGATTTCACTAAATCAGGTATTTCAAATTAAAACAAATATTTTTAATAACAGTGAAGGAACTATTGAGTATTACAGACAAAGAAATAGGGTGTCTTTCCTACTGAAGTCTATTTATGTATTCTGGATTTGTGTATTAAACAAGTAATGCTAATATGGAAGCTCCCTTTAAAATTCTCCTTAGCTTAATCATCCTTAACTTAATCATCAGGAAAAGAAAGCATGATATACCAGAATTAAAGTTACTAAGTACACAGAAATTGATATGTTACTGTTACCTTAGCATTCTTCCAAAGTTATAATAGTTAGTAAAAAAATTTTGGAAGGGATATAAAACTACATGATTCACTGTTTAAACTGATCTCTATTTGGGATTAGAATGAGATCTTCAGGGGAGTCAGATTATCCCACATCTGTCTACTGTAGGTTTACTTGCACCTTCCTCTGAAGGGTCTGGTGCTGGACCAACTTCTGTCGGTGAAAGAGACAAGATCTCTTCTTCAGGTCTGTGTAGCTCGAAAGCTTGTCGCTCTCACCAACAGAAGTTGGTCCAGTAAAAGATATTACCTCACCCACCTTGTCTGTCTCATATCCTGCTACAGCAACACTGCAAATAAAAACTACTGGGTATAGCTCCCAGTTACAGCTGTGTCCCTGGAAACTGCCAACTACCTGGGACAGATTATTGGCCTTTAGCAACTTTGTGTGGGCCAGACCGGTACAAAGAGATCTTAAAGCTGCCCTAAAGGGGCAATTGAGGGTTCCCATTTCTCAAACCAGCTCCTCTTCCATCTTTGTCCCTTTGAAAGAAATTGCACCAGGGCTGGATGGGGACAGGAGGGGGCTCTGCCAGTCTCTGACCAGTGGGAGATCCAATAGCTCATATTTGCACACAATCTTGTGTGATAAACTCTGGGATTTTTGCCTATGTTTTATAAACTGTTGACCCATTGTGTGGTATCGTACATTGATATAACTCCTGAGTTCTTTACTCAGTCCTTACTCAGGCAGTCATGCACTGCAGTCATGAGGTAATTCCCAAATTTTGCTACAAATAGCGATTTTGAGGCACACTTGATGAAGTCAGTGAGACTTTCCTATGAGGACTGAGTGATAATGGAGTGAGTACCACGTTATCTGGAATAAGCATAATAATTGTCCTCATCTTTTTTTATTCTTTCAATTTAACGAGCAAGTCCCAACATCTTTCAACTCATCTACCAGTATTAGTCAAAATAAGTCCTAGGCTGACATAAACCTGTGTAGCGCCGCTAAAGTCAATGCCAACTATGCTAGGCCTGTTACACCAGCTGAGTACCTACCCTATGGTTTTAAAAGAAGAATTGCTGCACTTCTTGTGAAAGATTTGGTAGTAAAATAGATACTTCTTTGTCATGCTTTCTAACAACTAAACCCAATTCTGTCTGAGAAAAAAACCTCTCTAAATGATTTGAGAGGGTAAACTGACTTCATTTGTAGGCAATGTATGTATACAGACTGACAAAATGAATAAGCTAATGTATGCCTTTGCATTAGACATGTAATCCTACTCCACTGAAGGCAGTGACAAAATTCCCGTTGTTTTCAGTGGGTGCAGGAACTGGCTATATTAGCTTAATAAACCTATCACCAGTGCTGGAAATAAACAAAGAGGAAAGGGAAATAAACTATACAACTGTTAGTATTCAGAACCTCCAGTAGGAAAGGAACTTCATATTAAATACATTCTTTAGTCAACAGCATAAAATTATGCTAAAAACTATCCATGCTATGGAACCATCACCGTATATATAAATGATTATAACAGCTGCTGGGCATTTCCAGACATGCACACACCTGGTAGTAGTGGCCATTTCATACAGAACTGTCAGACTTAAAATACACATCTGCACTAGCTCAAACACAAAGAAGGGAAAAGCAGCAGCACCATTAAAGAGGGCATTACCGAGGACTTACTGGTAGTTGCTCTAGATACTGTTGCTTTAAGAGTAAGGCATCCCAGGGGGCCTGTCAGTAAGACCCAGGGAGAAGGATAACAGTAATGTGATTTTGAGGTTGAAAGTGAATGATCTGAAAGTAGCTTAGAACAGTCGGAAGTGGGAACTAAAATCTCTGGCCAAGGAACTCATTTGTGTAGGAGGCGCAGATCCTAAAACTGGCTGTGCTGAATTCTTCTAAATTCAGTATTCAAGTCTGTGGTTAAACGAATGAAAAGGAGACCTTAAAAAATCAGTATTTGTATGTAACTATAAAACCATTTACAACAAAGTGCCCATTTACTACACATTTTATTCTGACCACTTCAAAATTCAAATACTGCATTTGTGCGATTCTTGCCATAATTCATAGTGTTGGATCATTAAACATGTATTCTGTTATTGCTAAGCATAATTGTGAGATGCTAGAAGCATTATAGGCTTGCAAATATGTATTTCTCAGTAGATGGATGACTGTTTTTTTTCCATGCTCATTTGAATTTCGCTTATGAGAGAATTTCAAATAGTGTAGTTCAGAGAAAAGAGACCTAGAGGACTGCAAGTAGCAAAAATTAACTAACAGAAACATGATTACTAGGGAACTGCTGCCACATATTCTCTTTATGTGGTAGAGGTTTTACAATATTTATTTTATATGGTCAGAGTTATAAGTTGAATTCTGTGTTGTTTGTTCAGCCTATTATGCAGATGGTGCTTGATTAAAATCTATTTTAAACTACAGCAATTACTGCAAGATAGTATGCGTAAAACAGCTCTCCTAGCTCCGCTAAAGGATTTGGTACTATTGCAGTTTATTTTAAATATATTTATAGACATTTTCAAACTTCTCAAGGGACATTTAGATATCAACAATGTGCCTTACTTGATAGACTTAAATCCTACACTGGGTAGTCTTGTGATCTATCATCTGTGCAACGTGGTTACTACCGACTTTTTTAAAGTGAAAGATTATTGCTTTCTTGTGATAAATAAGTTAAATACATCACTATAATTAAGCAATAAGGCATGACAGGAGGTGGATTACCATGAGCTAACTACACCTCTAGGGATTTTGAGGCACGAGTCTATGCCTAGAAGAATATATATGTTTTTTATTTTATTTCCCATCTGTCTCTGCTTTGGCGGTTAGCAGTGGAGTCTATGAAGCTGATAGACTGATGGGAGCATAAGGTACGCCATCATCTCAGCCATTTCCAAGGTTATTAGTACTGGAATTCTTTTTCTTTACTTATTTTTTATAAAACAAACAGAATTTCCCCAGGGAGTACTCCCTTTTTAGCAGTGGGATGTTTGAAGCCACTTGATTATTTGGGTTGGAGAATAAAATGTCTGAGCTATTTATAAGAAGACTTTTTTTCTCTTACCTTTTATGCATATTACGATTATTTATCACATAGTTAAATGGTAGTTTGGACATTCTGCTATCTTAAATATCTACAAGCTTGCAAATCCCTATGGTCAAGACAAAAGCGTTAAAAGAAACCTTTTAAAATAGCAATAGTAGGAACTTTAACTGTGGGTCTGAAGTTGTCAAGCCTTCTTGCTCCTGGGATTTGTGAACTGTTACTTATAGCTGTTTGGAAAATTTGGATTAGGATGGTCAAATTAACTAGGGAGCTCTTCATGTGTGCACATAACACACCTTCATATATTATTGATCTTGTAGTTTCTTCTACAGTGTAGAGTGAAATAGTAATCTGCAAGTTTGAAACAAGCAGCTTGTGTTTTATAACTTCTTCCCTCTTCTCTCTAGTGCTGCTGGTGTACTCCACAACCATTAACTGCATATTTGATTGCCTAACCAGGTGCCTAGGAACCAAGCAATTTCCTTTTTAAGTTACATTCATCACATTGCTGTTCTGATTAAAAAGCCACAACTGGCCAAATCCTGCTCACTTTACTCACCTGAGTAGTCCCATTAAACACAGTCCGGTGACACACAGGAAGAGGGAGAAGGGTCTGGCCCAGAGTGAGCATATACAGCCATATGCAGCTACTGTCATTATGCACCTGTATTTATTTTTGGAACACCTGTAATCTAGCATGTCTAAACTGATCACAGTTTATTAAAAATGATAGAAATCATCTCTATTCGATAGTAACCCTCTCCCCCTGAGTTTTTTCAAATGAAAACCCCTTTGGGACAGATACAGTTAGCCAGATTCTCCAGTCTGCTGAGGCCACTTTCTGCCATGTAGTTCGAGCCGCCTAGAAAATCAGGCCTGTGTCTTTGCATATTTTTGCACAGCATCTGGCAAAATGGGGTACTGAATCCTGTTGGAAGCCCTACTGCAATATAAATATTTAATGGTTAAAGGACAGTTGGGTTTTCACAAATTTGCACGTCTTCAGGCTGCAGTGAAATCCACAAGAGGGATCCAGGGCGTGGGGATTTTTTAAGTGTGTGTATACACACACAAACACAAGCTCTTCTTTTCATCCAGTGTATGCGTGAGCCTCATTTGCTCCTTTATTCAGAACCTAAGGGACTGATCCTGCACCAGCAGAGTTAATGAGAGTTTTGCCATTGACTCCAATAAGACCAGAATTGAGCCCTTCAATAGGTCAAAAAAATTTCCAACCTAAACTGCTGAAATTTTGTTTCTCTTGATTTTGATTAAGAATAATACAAGGAAATTAACATTTTTTTTTAAATCTCAATTCACTTGATTCCCAATCCAGTTCCCAGTGAAGTCACTGGAAACAATCCCACTAACTTCAGTGGGAAATGAACTGAGCCGTAGGTTAAAATAGTCCTCTAAGGGAAAGAAAAATATAAGGTGGAAATTATATTGTTCTTGCTCTGTTTAAATGGTTCTAATGATTAAACTAGTGGTCAATGTATAATTAAATCTGTAATGATTTTACTCATTACAGGTCTCCAACAACCATTAGCTGTAAGACTCCGAAAAGATAAAAAGATGACAAGCTAATCTATTAATGATATGATAATTTTATAAAAACAAAATGTATGAATCATTTTAGGAAAAACGTTACATAACCTAGAACATTTATAATGCCTTTTATAGATGAAACCCTGTGAAATGTTGTCAACATTTGGATTATCAAAAGACGTTTTCCCCAGCAAAATCCATAATGTATATTGTAGGTGCCTTGATAAATAGAGCTTTTTGGTCTGATTCACAATTTAATGAGTTTCTATCCTTTTGTGAACTTTTATTACAGGTCAATGGAGGAGAGAAGCGACCTGCTTCTGATATGGGAAAGAAACCCAAAACTCCCAAAAAGAAGAAGAAGAAGGACCCTAATGAGCCACAGAAGCCCGTGTCTGCCTATGCATTATTCTTCCGAGACACTCAAGCAGCCATCAAGGGCCAAAACCCAAATGCTACATTTGGTGAAGTCTCTAAAATTGTAGCTTCAATGTGGGATGGCTTGGGAGAGGAACAAAAACAGGTACAATGTGATATAAATTGTAGTGATCAAGTACATGTCGTCTAACCACTTTGAGCAGCTTTTTGTTCATTCCGACTAAACCTGAAAATGTGTCATATCAGAACTTGAGTTCAGGGGACTATCACCTCATTTCATATATCAGTTTATTAGGCCACTAGAAAGAGTATTTTAGTTCTTCTGCCTGCGAATTTATATCATTACTTTTAGGATTTTGTGTGCCAAAGTCAGAGGGCTTGAGGCTCAGTTACAATGAGGCCCCTTTACACTGCCAGAGTGATGTTTAAAAACCACCTATCCTCCCCTTCAGCAGTTCTCTTTATCCTTTTGTCATTATTATCTTTATTCTTTTCCAACTTAACAGAAAACTTAGTCTGTCTATCCCTAGCCACTCCTTGAAGACCACCAAAGAGCTGATACCAATATGTTATTCAAACCCTTCCCCAACAGCTTTTCAGACTATGTGGGAGTATATGCTCAGCTCTTTCCTCCTCTTTTTGTATACATGTTGTCATTAAATATTGTACAAAGTGAAAGACTAAATGGGATGTTCTCATCTATATGATGAGATGTTATGGGAGCTATGCAGTGTGACAGGGAATAAGAGCCATAAGGCTCAGGCCCTAAATATTTGATAGTCCTTTGTTAACTGACCATTCTGTGGCAAATGCATTTTCACTGCTATATTTTTAAGGTATTGTTTCTATTTTAAAAAGGAACTATAGGTCAGTCTAGGAAAAGTTTGATTCCTTATCTTTTTACTTTATGGATCCTACTTGTGGTATATCAAGGGGCTTTTTTCAGCACTCTCTAGAAAAAAGACCCTGGTGTGATTGTAAGGGACGATCAGGTGGAATGTAAAGCAGTGTGAATAGCTCCCCTTTGTGTCCATGTTAAAGTAATAATTTCCTTCACATTCTCAGCTCTGCACTTCTCTTTTTCCTCCTTCCAGGTCCATTGTTGTCTTTCTCAATTAAGTTATGTACAGCCTTGGCTGATGGTAATAGTGTTCCCAGTAAGGCCCTGTTTCCTCTGCATGTCTACCTTAGAAATAGAAGATTAAATGTTTTACTTAATCCATAAAACATGACGGAATGTATAGTGTTGCATAACAAAGATACACCTAGGTACATTGTTAAGCACATGGAGAAAGCCTAGTGCTTGCAGTGAATTAGGTGTGGGGAATCATGGCTACACAGGAACAGAACACTCTGTAGTGTCTGATTACAACTATAACAATGTCCTTACATTTTGCAAACATATTAAAATGTGTTTTTAATTTTTTTACAATGTAATTTTTCCACTGAAGAGAAAGGCAAAGGATGGAAACCAGCTGTAGAAAATAATATAGGGTTCTACTCCCCTAAGCGATTGTTGTTCACTATTATTTATTATTTGTATTGCAGTAGTGCCCAAAGACCCCAAGCAGGATAGGGGCTCTGTTGCACTAGATGCTGGGCAAACATATATGAAGATACGTTCCTTGCCCTGAAAAGTTAACAATCTAAATAGATCAGAAAGACAAAAGTGAGGGGGAAAGCAAAGGCCTTCATCCTGTAAGGAGCTCTGCAAGGATGGACCTGCATCTGCACAGAACCCCACTGAAATCATTGGGACCTTGTTGGAGTTGCAGAGGTCCTTCTGTGTGGAGCTCATCACAGGAGCCAGACCCAATGGTCAGAGTGATGGTTGGCAAATATCATATTAGGTTTATTGTCTGTTGTCATTGTTTGGTTTTAATGTGGTAGGGGGAGGACGTGAGCTGACAGGAAGCCAGGAGTGGGAAATGTAAGGAACAGTGGGGAGCGAGGAAAAATGAAGTGCGGCATGGAGACCAGGGACAGTGGAGAGTGAGGCTGGCTGCAGAGGGATTGTGAAGGAGAGGAGAGTGGAGAGGCCAGAGTAAACAGCCAATCAGCAGGGAGGCAGAAAGCACAACATCTATTTATGTATACAGTGTTTATTTGATTTCAATAGAAAACACTGTGTGGAAGCTGTCCTTTTCAACATCTCCAGGCATTATACCAATTGACAGAAACAAAGAACCGTAAAGGCTTCCTGAGCAGAACGTTCCAGAGGTTTCTCATTTTCCGTGCTAATTCTGTGCTAATTTGACTAGCATCTTGATACAAACCTATTATTATTAAAAAGAGTGTCACTAAAAATTCTTTTTATAAGTCCTGACTTCTGGACTTCAGAGAATTGGTTGTCTACCTTCAGTAACCCCCCACAAAAAGTCAGCTGGAAGATTGCATGGAGAGGCACTTAGGTCCCATTAAAACCAATGACAGTTTTACTGCTGACTTTTATGGGTCAGAATTTGGCCCTTAATAACTGACCAAAAAAAAATTTTCTACCTAGAAACTGTTACTATATAATGTGTGGCTTCCAGAAAGTTCAGCTGGAGGAAAGGTAACTTTGTGAATCAGAGGATCATAGAGGTCAGGTACATTAAAGTTTGTGGGGTTCTGCCTTCCTCTAATGTGCCCAGCCACTGTCTGAGGGAGGATCCTGGATTAGATGGACATGATTGTTTCAGTACAGCAGTTCCTCTATAATAGTTGAATGTTGCATCTCAGGATCATGAGAGTCACTACTTGCTCTGGGCTCCGAAACATGGACTATATTCAGAATAAATTTCAGTAGCAAAAAGTTTTGACTGTATTTTTCTGAGTGCCGATACCGACAGGCTGGCATTGCAGGTGATGCAGAGCCACAGCAGGAAGGGTTGTCTCTCAGGATCCTCCCCAGCATGCAGAAAAGTAGCCTTGGGTCCTTGGTGTGCTCAGCCAGGGCCGAGTGGGTGAGCGGCCAGAACTAACCCTTATTCCGTCTGAGGTGACTTGTGTGTCGCCATGTGGGTTGGTGGGGGGGCAGTATCAGAGAACAATGGAATTGCAATTATCGTAAATCCTTACATGGGTTGTACAAGAGGGGTAAGGCTCCTTGCTTACACCTTCTCCCCCTTCATTGCGTGCCAGTAATAGTGCACCCTTAATGTTTTTACGCCCTTGCAGAGATTTGCCCACATGACATGCAATGATGTAAATTCAGAGTTCTTGCTAGTGATGTTCACACACTGGAACCCCAAATCCAAACACGCACACCCCTCAGAAACTTTCCAAAAGCTTCTCTCTGGATCTTGGGCCCATACTAATTGAAACTAGAATCCTGGATCCAGATTCCCCTGAAGTTGGTGATAATTTGGATCTGTATCTGAACTTCAAAATAGTCCCTGTCTCTAGTTCCAATTAATGTTACTGTTCTTTAATAAAAACACAGGTCAAAAAACACTTTAGCCACTCATCTGTCTTTCTTCCAGCATATTTTATGATTACCTTTAATTTACGAGTCTGAATCATATTAGCCATTAGGTACATCATTGTATTCTTCCTTCCAGAACTCACTTTATAGTTTTCTTCCCCCAGCAGAGTAGAAAATCTCAGTTGCTGTGTGATAGTCCAGGACCATACAATGGAGATAAACAAAAACAAATTGAAAATGCACATTCATGAGGAAACAAGCTTTGCTCTTCATCTGTTGGTTTTGTGTGTATTATAAAAAATAGTCCCCATGCTTGTCAGAGACCTAAAAGAAATACAGATTCAATTTTCATTAAAAAAAACCTGGAATTTCTGAATTTAATTCCAGTGTTCCTGCTCACAGCTGAAAGCAATAATTGAATAATTCCTGTATTGGAAAAAAAATAGTAGAACAGAATTTGTTTTTGTTATCTGTGTTGTCTTCAAGTTAAATTGCTGAACCTTGGAAAACCATTAGCGTTTTAAACGGCAGAATTACATGCTACAGAATTCAAACAGAAAAGAGTAATGCAACCAAATATATATGCAGGGTATTACAATACTTTGTTTTACCATATGTTTGTTTGCTCCTCTGTCTTTGACTCATTTCACATATTTATTACTATAATTTATGTCTTGTGGTAATACCTAAAACCACCAATCAGGATCAAGCCCCATATTCTTTGGTATGGTATAAACAGAATAAAAGACAGCCCCTGATCCAAAAGAACTCTCCTATTTGCTAGGTCCATTGTGTTTATAATCAAAATTAATTCTGCATTGTACTGAGGGTCTGATCCTGCAAAGTGCTGAGCAAGTTCTAGGAAAAAATGCTCAGCAGTTTCAACAGCATTTTGTAGACTCTGTCTCCTCGTATTCATCTTGGAGATTATCGACATGCATATTTATTGGAATTTACCACTTATATTTGCTAAAGAAAGTTGCAAGAGCAGCATTATTAATGACCGCTAAACCACATGGTATAGGATATCTTTACAAGCTAGAAAAAAGTGCCATTACACCTGCAACAGGCTTAGATTTAACACCAGGGCCAAGTTTTTGACGTACATAGGTGCAGAAGTCCACCCATGCAGATCACAGTGCTGAATCAGGGCCACTGATTCCCGTGTATCAAAATTGCTCAAAACTAGAGCTGGTAAAAGAAAAGTAATTTTTTCATACATGGTTTCATGAAAAATGTGGTGTTTGTTTAGTTGTTTCTGTTGTTATTGTTTTTTGGTTGACATTTTTCAACTGTCAAAGGATGAGATAACTGTATCTCTTTTTTTTTATAAAAAGAAGAACAGGAGTACTTGTGGCACCTTAGACACTAACAAATTTATTAGAGCATAACCTTTCGTGGACTACAGCCCACTTCTTCGGATGCATGAAGATACTATAGAAAGAATCTCAAAAAGAAATTAAAATAAAGAAGTGTGGGATTCTCATAGGAATACTTACTTTATTTATGAATTAGACTTTCAATTCAGTAATCATAAAGCTTTGCGATTTTATGCTTTGGAAGTTGATGCTTATTCAGGAACTTAAATAGAATTATTGCCATTTCCTGAGTTGGAATTCCTTTCTGTTGTTTTAAATATAAATTAATCAGTAAGCAAAGCATAACACACAATAAGTTGTAAAAAGATAATGAGGTGGAGAAAATAAGGTTTAAAAAGTACTGATGGGATTTTTTGGTTA